TTTCACGTTGAAGACAATTAAGCATTTGAATAATCTACACTTTTTATTTCATGGTTACATTTTTAGTAAAGGTAATTTACTGTATACTTATGGCATTCGCACTTTATTTAGAAAAAGTAAAATAATACACTAAATGTATGTGAAATACCCTCTGCTGTGTTTTTACAGTTGGTGGAAAACCTTTGAATGTAATGAATACATTATAATCTTATTTCTGCATTTTGAAAACATAAGTTCTGTTAGAAATGCATCCAACACAGACAAGCCTCTTTCCCTCTCTTTCTTTCTCTCTGTTTCAAACTTTCTCTCACCTGAACTCCGGAGCAGAGTTGTTCTTCAGTCCATAGAAACCCGCAGACAGGGTCAGGAGCCAGTAGGGCACAAACGCCCCGTGTTCACACTCCAGGTACGGTGCCGACCACTTGATCTGGTTCTTGTCCAGAAGGTAACTTCCACTCTCTTTGACTCTTCTGTGCGAGTGCGGTCTCCTGCCGTCCCTGAACTCGTTGAACCAGTCGGACTCCGGGCTCCTGCTCCTCAGGTGCCGGTGCGCAGAGCCGGACAGGTCCCGCAGCACAACCTCCTTTTCGGTCCTCGTCGCCTGCAGGAAGAAGTGGGGGCCCGGAGTCGGAGCGTCGGTGTGGAAGGTCACCACCGCCCTGTGGATTTTGGGGTCCCCCTCGAGGATGCTCTGCACCAGTGCGTGGTACCAGTGGATGTCCCTGCGCAGGGTTTGCTCCCGGGACCTATTGGCCTGCAGGATCGCGTTCAGGAAGTTCGTGGCGTGCGCCACTGTGTCCAGGATGCTGTGCAGGGAGTAGTGCGAGGCGACGTGCAGGCCGCCCCGCAGGCTGCTCAGCTCGTACCTCCGAGAACAATTCACCTGTCTCAGCGCCGAGGAGTCGCCTGTGTGCAGGAAAGCGGTCACCACCCGTGGCAGGTCCTCCTCGATCTTGTGCGCCACCACCGTGCGCTCGGTGGATGGCACTGGGTAGAAGGTCGGGTGGTGGGGCGGCTCCCTGTTGATGTTTTGCGTGCTGAAGACCGGTGGATTCTTGTCGTCCTTTTCGTTGTCAGACCACTCCACGTAACCGTAGTTTGTTCCCAGAGCAAGCCCTGTGTGCAGGAGCAGCGGGACCACCAGGAGCAGGAGGACCACCATGGTGCGTCTTTCACGGGCAGAGAGAAAACAGCGTGGACACTTGGAAAAGTGTTGATCATAACCAAAGCTACTCTCTGTTGTTCCGCTGGTTCACAGCATGAGACACTCAAAAGACGCGCACATAAGATGATGCCCTGGATTTCATACCCACCATCAGGCTGAACACGATGATTGATATCCACTTCTTCTCGTCCAGCTCATCTTCAGAAACAACCACACTTTCTCTCTCCTCTTCTGCGCGTTCACAACACCACCATCTGATCCAAACAGCTGCACACAGATCCAGCGGTGCATTGACTCAAGAGCAGACAACACGGACTCCTCAGCAGTCCACTCAGATGCAGCGACGTTACAGCCGAGTGTCTCTGTGCTGAGATCCATGCGAGAGGAGTAGGATGACGAGCAACGAAGCAAATTGCCCCCGAAGTTCCGTCCCACCCAATAAAAGCCTAATAGGCCACTTGAAGTGTCGCCCCCCGGCGTGTGTGGTTGTTTCTCACTGCCAGTCTGCCGGAGGTGGGCGGAGCGTGGGAAACGACTGGAGCTGTCCGGTGCTGAAAGTAGCACCCGTAGGAAGAAGAGATGCGAGGGTGGTGTGTGGTGAAAATGAAGAAGATGAAGATGGAGGAGAGTGTTTATCAGACTGAATCACAAGGAAAGCTGGAGGTAACTATAGTGGAGACAAACATTTGAACATCTGCATGTCTTCCTTTCTGTCTTCACTATAACAATTATAATGGTAAGAGATAATAACAATAGTAGTATTAGTATTCTATCTCATTTGTTTAGCATTTCTCAAAACAAAGTTACAAAGTGCATACAATACATACAAATACATCAAACAAATAACATAAAAACATAAATACAAGAATAAAAACACAAATTGTGTGATAGAATATTAAGCATGAGCACTCATTACAATAATAAAAGGACTGTTGGACTGTTGTAATGAAGAAGTCAAAAATAGCATTGCGCGTGTGTGCGTGTCCATCCATGTCATGACTCTGACATTCCCCACCCCAGATCAGGAGTCAGCCCTAGACTGTAAATGGTCGTTGCTGTGTGCAGCTCGCCCGGGGTGACTCGCAGGCCGTTGCCATGGCAGTGGAAGGCGATGGCCACAGAGATCTGCCCACTGCTCACTGCAGCCAGTGTTGAGGAAGGTATTGCCTGGCCCTGCAGCATCTAAAGCTAAAACGGTAGTATCCACATCTCACACACCAATCAACCCTGTGTGATGATGCAGTGGTCTGACACTCAAAGACGGATGGATAACCAGTGACAGGACAGATACCGCCGACAAGAAAGTACCAGAAAATGACATAAACGATTATCAACGTTTTATTTTTGTGCATTGAGGTAAATAACCAAGCAACCTACAGGCTCCATCAGAGAAGATGCATGGATGGAGATGTTGAATCAGGAAAAGAGTTGAAGGAGAGCATGGGTGGACAAGAGACAACAAACTGTATGAAGTGACTCCCCCCCCCCTTTTTCATCTTCTTTTACAAGCTGCACTGCCTCCCCTGGCCTGATGAATATTTGATAGTTATTTGCTGCTTCATCTGCATGCTTTACAACTTTGGTCTGTACAACCGCAACAGTGATAGAGGCTCGCTCTCTCTTCTCCCAAAGGTTCCTTCAGATTACCCCAGAAAGCAGGGGGAAGGGGAAAAAAGGTCTTATGCGCTCAAGGAGTTTTCACTCTGATGCCCCCCCCCACACACACACTTGCAGTAGTGCAGTTTGCTGCTGTGTACATGCAGGGAGCTGCAGTTGAACTAAACAAAGTAGACTTGAATAGAGGTGTCAGAGGGAAAGTGACCAAGGTTCAGTTAAGGTTTCACCTGAGAAAAGTTTACAATGTTGTGCTTTTGAATGAATATATATTGTCAAACATTATCTACTACTTAACAAGAACTAAATGAACTATGGTGGTCCTTTCAGTGATGAGGTTAACTGCCACAGTCACATGATGTTCAGCTGCCTCCACATGAGCTAATGTGCAAATGTTGAAGAAGGTCAACAATGTCAGTACATTGACTGTAAATAAAGAAGGACAACATGACTGCTCCATAAAAGTGAAGCCAAAGTGTCTCAAATCGCCTCCTGGTGGTCGGTGACTGAATGGCACACAGGTCAAACCGAAAGTCAAAGTACATGTTAAATACATTTTTGTAAGTTTAATTTTAATTAGTTATTTGATGTCATAAAAACATGGTTAAACGTCATGAGTGACAGCTGAGACTGACTTGTTATTGGTCGACAGCTTCCAGCGGCAGGACCTTGACGCTGCAGGTCCATCCCCCAATAACTACTGCTCATACTCTGGCTCCAAATGACGTCTTTGGCTTAAGATCAGCCATCTGACATGACACATGCTCTCCTTGATCATGCAAAGCTCCGAAATAACTCAATCACAACCCTTACTGAATGCAACTGTGAGTGTGTGTGGATATTTGTGTGAGAGCATGTAAGCGGGTGAATGATTCTAGGCCTTTCTCAAGGTGAGACACGACAACCTCATGTGAATCATACTCTCAGATGTCTGAAGTGAAAGCTCACGAAAACACAGAGCTAGTGCTGTCTGATCAAAAAGCACTCCTACTAACCCTGGAGAATTATGGTGAGGGATGTGTGTATTTGTACACATGAGCGCACACACATACACACCAAGCAACTGATGCAAGTGTGAACAGACGAGTATGAAATCAACTTGTCAGCAGAGAGAAGAGATGAAGGGGTAACGAAGAACTATATTCATTCTATCAAATTACACAGACACACGCATGTTTTTACTTCTCTCTTAGTGAGGACACTCATTGGCATAATACACTCCCTGGCCCCTTACCCTAAACTTAACCATCCAAACTAAATACCTAACGAGCACTCTGAGGGGCACTGGCACTCGGCATGTTCATTAGATATTTAGAGCACTGCGTTTTTTTACTTAACTAACCCTGCCAGTGCCTGTGGGATCAAGTCCATTTATATATATGTTTTGCACTATTAATCAGATTTTTAATAATTCCAGTTCTGTCTTAGTGTTTTATTTTTATCATCACAATCATTGTGTTTGAATTTATTTTATTCCTCATATTCTTATTTTTTATTTTACCTACTGCATAGCGTAACACCTCTTAGTGCATGCGTCCCTTGGAGTGCTCGTTTTTACTTCACCTATCCCTTACCCTTAACCTAACCCTAATCCTACAATCAAATCTTAACCCTCAAACGGCCATTTGAAAAAGTGAGGACCGGTCAGAATGTTCTCACTATTCCTCACTCTGGAGGGTCTATGCTTAAAATGGTCCTCACAAAGATTTAAGTACATAAACACACACACATACACACACACACACACTTCTAACATTAATGATGATAAATTCAAGTCTAACTTTAACCTCTCCACAATTCACATCTTAATCCTCACCAGGTCCTCAGAAACACCTTATTGGGAGCGGCCCTACGCACACAGACACACAAAGACACACACACATGCACACAGACATGCACACACACATGCACACACACGTGCACACACACACTATTTATATATATTTATTATTACGATTATAATCGTTTGGTCGTTGCTGCCCTCCTGCGGTTATAGCCAAGTTATTTCAATAGTTCTGTTGCATTCACGTTGAACCCTGGAACAATGGACCACTGGTCTTGTTACTCTCACTCTCAATTTGTCTCACTTGTCAATGGATCCTCCACTGAAACACGCATTTGTTCTTCTACTACTTCAAAAAAAACTCCAGTGAAAACTACAATTGAATCACTGGAACTATAAGTATGAAGCTCCACATTTTATTTTGGTGATTTGACGGTAAATGTAGACGGGACGTTTCCGTGCTGTCGGCTGATTGCGACATTTCCGAGTGCACCTAAATGCAGCCTGAATGAAACCTCTCATGTCAACGGGGGAAGCGAAATTAGCCGTTAGCCGTGTGCTCTGATCGAAGCTAACAGTTAAACACCCAGTGGAACAGGAAGCTGACACGTTAGCACCCAGTGGAACAGGTAATGTGTGAAACTCTGTGAGCTCACCTGTGTGGTTTTCACTCGTTCGTCGTTGTCTGACGTTCACGTTGTTGTTTAACGTTAAACTAAACCTCCGCGTTCCAAGTTGCTAGCTGATGCTAGTCAGGCTCGGCTACCATCTGCCATGTAATGTTAGCGAGCGGCTAGCTGTTAGCTAGGTTCAACTGCGAAATACTGAACAACCGAGGACGATGAGAGGACCCAGCTCTCCTCTCATTTAACGGTCAAGCGTGCTAAGCTAACAGTAACTATGCTACATGTTGATGCGATGACCGTGTGAGTTTAAATCAGTGGACCACTGACAACATGTCAGCTGTTTTCATTCACCAAATCAAGTTTACATAATCATCTCCACCTTCTGTTTACAGTTGACTGATGTGTATATATTAATGATCCTGAACTAAAGCTACTTAGAATGACCGTTACATTTATTGACTCATGCAACACTCGTTTTTTTTAAATTAATATTGTTTTGAGGTTTTTCAGATTTTAACACTATACAGAGGTCAAAGAGGAATAGTTTCCATCACCCTGAACACATGAGAATAACAAACAACACATTCAATGAACTGGAATTAAAAAAAAACTTTGGTATAATAATGAAGTTTAATAAATACATTATACAAAAAGATGAACAATGGCAAAGAAATAAAAAGCCAAAGAAAGAGCTTGAGTTGGGCTTGTTACACTGTGCGCTATCACCACCCTCATATTTCATTCCCCATGATCTGACTTTGCTCGATTTCAGTAAACCAGTCCAGTCCGTGCTCCCTGGTGTTTAACCCCTTCTCATCTAAATCTGTTTATTCTGTGCTTTTTCTTTAGGGATTGTCACATGGATCCTCCTCGGCAATCTAAGAATGCTCACATGAATCGAGAGCCGAAGCGCAAACAGGATCAGGCAAGCACCCCTCCTCAGAAAGATGCTTATGCCAGACTTCTGAGCCAGCACCGCAGCAGCAAGTTCAATTCGTATCTGGAACAATATTCAAAGGACTTGTCATTTCAAAGGGAAGGACATTTGCCAAGCACCCTGGTCAAAGCCCAGAGTGACAGGCTGAACATACCACAGCACAAAAGGGACCAAATGTTTAATGATTTCTCTGATTCAAGTGACTTCTCCCCCTCATCTTTGAAAAGTAAAGAAGAGGAAAGTTCACTGTCTTTGCACATGGAGAGGCTGAGTGGTCATACTGCGCCGCAGGACTGTGAAAGGAAGCAAGATGTCACTGACAGGCAGCGACGTGGGCCGAGGAGAGACACCACCACCAGCCAAGACGGAGACATTGAATCTGGAGAGGAGTTCAGCTCCCTCACACATAATGAGTCCAAGAAGCAGCAAAAGAAAAATAAGGACTTTGTTGCCTTTAAAGAGCCCAATTTCGATGGACGTCCTCAGTCCCCAAAGAAAGCTGGCACAAGTGGACAGGAGCAAGAGAAGATGAAGAAGCCGAAGAAAAAGAATCTGCCCCAGCACCCAGAAGAAGAGAAGAGCCCAGAAGTGTCTGGAGCTTATACTTACATGTCAAGGCCCAAGTCTCCTCATGGTAAAGACAAGAAATCGCAGCAATCCCAAGGTAAATTGGTGTTTGACACATTACTCCTCAGCAGGTGTAGAGAAATTTCATTGTGATGGGTTTTATCAATTTTCGTTTCTTTTTAGCTTCAACTACCTATACTCCAGCAGACAAAAGCAAGAACAAAGGAGGCAAAGGATCCAAGAAACAAGTGTTTGACTCTTACATGACAGCAGAGGAAGTTTCCCACGGCCTGAAGAGAGGAGAGCTTATTCAAGTACAGAGTGACTCTTTCTACACCTTGGGTTAAATAATACAGACATGCAAATGTAATAATGTATTTGATTTTTACTGATGATTTCATGAGTGCAAATTGATTGTATTAGGATTATTTTGTATTTTTGTCCCGTTAAACTCCCTTTTCCTCCTAGAGTGTGTATACTGTGTATGGTGGAATACATTGGGCTCCATGTTAGCTGTACTGTAATTTTTTTAAAGGAAAAATATTAATTGATCAATATGTAACATTCAAGCACAAAACTTGTTAAGTCTTGAAACTTGACTGGACTGATGCAGACCCACCCTGAGTCCTTTGTCATTTCACTTGATGTCAATGTCAAGTAAATTAGCACGAAACTAGTTGACATACAACAGGCGTGGAGCCTCCAGAGCCTGTGGCAGACGTCTGTTTTACCATCTCTGATAATTCAGCTTCAAGGACACTTTCTTCACGTTAATAGTCAACTTCTGCCTATTTTCTCTGCAGGGACAACTAAGAATCAACCCTAAGAAGTACCAGGAAGCTTTCATCCCATCTCCTGTAAGTTTGATTAAGCTGAATTATTTTACTCAAAGTATTTTGCACTGCTTATGAATTTAACAAAGAATTTTCCATGCCTCAGTAACCTGTTTAGTTTTGTATAACCTGTGGTTGCTATCCCCTAGTAAATGAGAAAGTGGGACTTTGCATGTGGTTTCATTGTATTAACCACTACCCTGACATCAGTCTTTAGAAAAGTTACAATTTTACAATGAATGATCTCTCTTGTGTTTGCAGGATGACATGCGGGATATATTTCTGGATGGGATTGTAGCTCGCAACAGAGCGTTGAATGGAGACATTGTGGTGATACAAGTCCTACCTCGAGAGCAGTGGAAGGTAAAGTACCTCTCTTTTAATACAGTGTACTTATAGTTGGAAGTTTTGTATTTCAAACTTTGTGTCTGTCCAGGTTGTGAGGTCAGATACTGACTGTGATGGTGCCAGTGAGTCAGAGACACAGAAAGAACATGTGGTGAAAACACCTCAGAAGAAGAAAGAGCACACCTGCAGGCCTGATGCTACTGTGGGCGATCACTGTAGGGACCAGGATGAACTCTTAAGCAAGGTTCAGAATATCACCCTCACTGACACAGGTACTGTGAAGAAGTAGTCAATGTAGCAGCCGTTGCAAATCGTGAATAGTGTTTCAATGATTGTTTACTAATCTGAAGAGCTTGTCAGTCACAGAAGATCTTTAATTATTATAGTTCAATAATCTGTATTGTTTTTGTCCTCTTCGCTGGACTTCTGAAAGATCCGTCCACCCCTCGGCCCAACGGGGAAATACTCCAAAAGACTGCTAAGGTGAGTTTCTACTTATCTGGCATGTGCCAAGCAAGAACAGTTCTTCACGCACTGCGGTCAAAGTTCAACATTGGTGAACTTTGACTGCTTCGTGCTATTATGAACACTTGCGCTTCCACTAGAAACTAAGCATCCAGCTTGGTACAGAATGCACGATGAGAAAACGAACCCAGCCTAAGCCTGACAGGCATCCTGATTTTTGCTCGATACCATTAATGTAAGGTGGACTGAGTTTGTGTTAAACTGTCCATGACACGCATGGTTATTGCTTATTTTCCCTAATTACCGACGTGCAGTGTAAAAAATAAACTTTTTGTCTGTACCCAGCCTGGCTCATTTGTTATAGCCTCACTCTAATGTTCATACTTCACAATAAAATTTGGGATGCTTTTACTGTGAAAAAACTCAGGATTTACAGTTTGCATTCTTGTATTACAAAGCTTCTGCTTGTTATTTCTCTTGTTCTTCAGTGGCACCTTTTCCTTATGTTTCTTGTGCACAGTGAACTTAGATTTAGAAAAGAAACACAAGTTACTAAACAATATCCAACAGCATAGATGCTACTGTGATGGAAATGGAGTCCTCACTGTATTCCTTTCGCCCCTTTGTGTCTGTCTGCCAGGTGGTCTACATCGTTGAGAAGAAACACTCCAGAGCAGCGACAGGCTTCCTCAAGTTCCTACCAGACAAACCCTTTGTCATGTTTGCCCCCATGGACCACCGGGTGCCTCGCATTAATGTTCCCCTGGTTGACTGCCCTGCTGACTTTAGTTCCCGCTCGGGTGACTACATTAACACGCTGTTCATCTGTCGCATCACCAACTGGTCACCTGACAGCAACTTCGCAGAAGGGTGTGTATAGACGCACGGTGCGGTAAATGGTATAACTCCGACCGGGCAACCACTCTGAGTGTCTCTAAATATTTTCTCCTTCAGAAAACTAGCTAAGACTCTGGGTCAAGCTGGAGAAATCGAACCAGAGACAGAGGGCATCCTGACGGAATATGATGTGGATTTTTCTGAGTTCTCCGATGAGGTGTTGGGCTGCCTGCCTAAGAACCTGCCCTGGACCATCCCACCTGAGGAGATGAGGAAGAGGAAAGACCTGAGGTACCACTGTGACAAGTTTATGTACTCTTTTCACTACCTTTAAATAAATTGGATAGACGGATGCATGATCGACTGTGCTAACTGTTAACATTATTTACTGTGCACATTATAATGAGACTACTGGTAATTTCAAGCTTTTTCATCCAATGAGAACAAACAAGTGTATCAAATCTTAATTTAGACCATGTATCCATACGACATGATTCTCAGAACACTGTTTTTTCCATTACGTACAGGAACGAGTGTATCTTCACAATCGACCCTGCCACTGCCAGAGATTTGGACGATGCTCTTTCCTGTAAACAACTCCCAGATGGTAAACTGCTGTCTGACACTCATGATGATGATGTGTTCTGATTAAAGATGGTTGATGAAGGATTGTGTTATTTTAGGAGTTTTGTTTATGTTATGTTTACACTGGATCTTTTTAACACAGGGAACTTTGAAGTGGGAGTTCACATTGCTGACGTGAGCTATTTTGTGGAGGAGGACAATGCTCTGGATGCAATTGCCAGCCGAAGAGCAACTAGTGTGTACCTTGTTCAAAAGGTGAGGACATCTGCTGCAACACTTCATTTTTTAATTATAACAATTTCTCTGTTGCAGTGAAACTGTTATATCTTTGTTTATTCACTCATTGTTTCACATGTTTTGTCATCGTCCAGGTGATCCCCATGTTACCTCGGCTGCTCTGTGAGGAGCTGTGCAGTCTCAACCCTCTCACCGACAGACTCACTTTCTCCGTTATTTGGAAGATCACACCCGAGGGGAAGGTATGATCATTCAAAATTGACTGAGCTGTTTATAATTGATATAGAGGTGTGAAGGGTGTGATTGCTGATTGATTTATTTCACCTCTTTGGTTCCACTTCACTTGCCCACTCTCCAGATCCTGAGTGAGTGGTTTGGCCGCTCAGTGATCCGCTCCTGTGTGAAATTGAGTTATGACCATGCTCAGAGCATGATCATGGCCCCAGAGAAAATGTTCTCCGCTGAGGAGCTGCCACCTGTGGACCCTGTGCACCCCATCGATGAGATCCACCAGGCTGTGCTCAACCTGCACACTATTGCCAAGAACCTCCGAGCTCAACGTTTCTCAGGTGGAGCACTCAGGCTAGACCAGGTCAGTCCCACATGCTGCTATTTGACTATTCTGTGCTGCCTTTTCTAAACCATGTATTACACACTGGTCCATGACAGAGATGTCAGAAAGAGACCATCATGCTTCCTAACTCTTACTGAAAAATGAAAATGCACTCATTATCTACTCACCACTATGCCGATGGAGGGATGGGTGAAGTTTTTGAGTCCACAAAACACTTTTGGAGTTTCAGCAGTAAAAAATGTTGCAGCCAAATCGAAACAATTGAAGTAACTGGGGACCTAAAACAGATCAGGAGGCAGATTCAAATTTCTTTTCAACTTCTTTAGCATTGTGGGGTGTTTTTTGACGTCTTTGTTAATTTCTGAAGAAACAGCGGATGAGGATTTCATACTGTCTTTGTAATTCATCTTATGTTTTGTAATCTTTACGATCTCTTTCATTGGTCAGAAATAGGACTCTGCTGATGTTTCGATATTCCTCATGTTATTTTTTACTTTATTCCTAAATAAGAACAATTATCAAAGATAAATTGACATTGACGTTAGCATGAAGAGAAAAAAAAACAGATTTCTCAGTTTGTCAGTTTCATAACATTTTCTTGTGTATGTGCATTGTGTTCTTTATTCTAGATGAAACTTTCTTTCACCCTGGATAAAGAAACCATGATGCCTCAGGGCTGCTATGTTTATCAATACAGAGACAGCAACAAGTGAGTAACAAACCCTCCTCAGATGCCTCTGTGTCTGTGTCCCTTCTGTTTCTGTCCCAAATATTTGACAAGGCAGACTTTTGTTCAAATGCATTCTTTTGATCAAACCTCCTTTCTTTCCATTTCTTATTTTCCTCCTCTGTCGCTCTTTAACTCTTTTCTCTAGGTTGGTGGAAGAGTTCATGCTGCTGGCAAACATCGCCACCGCCCACCACATCTACCGCAAATTTCCGGAGCTGGCCCTGCTCAGGCGCCACCCTCCACCAAAAGCCAAGATGGTAGATGAGCTTCAGGAGCTGTGTGAGCAGTTGGGCATCGACCTTGACCTGTCGACTGCAGGAACATTGAATGTAGGTGCCCCTAATGCAGATGTAACCTAATCTTTGTCTTTATTTTGAATCCAAATACTACAAGGTACATTCATTGTTTTCTCTCTGCTTAGATTTAAGAAAGTTATTCCATTCAAAATGTTGATGTTTCTCATCTGTGTTGCATCATCACACAAAAATGCAAATGCAAAATAATTATGTGATGAAAAAAGCTGTTTTTCTACATTTGCTTATTTGCCTATTTATTTCTACATTGATTCATTAATTAATACATTCCTACATTTAATTTTAATTTCTGTAATCCTACATGTATTAAATTATTTCTGTGTTCATATGTGAATTAGCTTGGCTGTCTTAACTCTTAGCTATACGAAAGCTGCTCATACTGAGCTAAAGACAAAGCTCCTGTGTACCAACCATTTCAAAACAGCCCTAAAGGAAAGGATGTTAAATTAAAACTGAAAATTGTTTTTATTGTTTCCCATCCCCCAATATGCAGAAGAGCCTCAATACTAGTCTTGGTAATGATGGGTACTCCAGTGCCAGAAAAGAAGTCCTCACCCACATGTGCTCCAGACCCATGCAGGTGAGAGCTCAGTAGCTACCGCTGGAAAGCATTGTCCATATTACTGAAGAATAAATTAATGGGTCAAATGTGATGTGAAGTTTTGAAATAGTTGTGGTCATAAAATATAAACTTCTGTACTATTTAATGAACCAATATTATTTATCTCCCAGATTACACACTGTTAATCTGTAGGATCTGTGTGTGTGTGTATATATATATATATATATAGGATCTGTGTATATATTTAATCTATGTTGTTGCTGTTTCCCAGATGGCGTTGTACTTCTGCACAGGCGTAGTGAAGGACGAGCCGCTTTTTAAGCACTACGCCCTCAACGTTCCTTTCTACACACACTTCACCTCACCCATCAGGCGCTACGCTGACATCATTGTGCACCGGCTGCTGGCTTCTTCCCTGAGTGTGTACCTTCATTACAAACTGCCCTCTACCAGACACACACACTTAAGCAGATAACAGAATGCCTCATTTGTCACAGACAATGATTCAATTGTGTTGCAGGACATTTCTGGTTGTTAATGTAGAAAAGAACAAAGCAGACACAGAACTGATTCTGAGTCAATGCAATGTTTCTCCTGTTGCCTTTGCTGTTGTTTTTGCACTTCCTGCATGTATGTATGAATTATTTATTTTGTTTGGCTCATACTTATTTTGTTCATGTCTGTCCTCTCCACGTTGTCATACAGAGTGTGGGCCTCACTTAGGGCTGTCAACAGAGGAAGTGGGAAAACAGGCATCACACTGTAATGACAAGAAGACGGTGTCTAAGAGAGTCCAGGAGCTCAGCTCGGAGCTCTTCTTCGGAGTTTTTGTAAAGGTGGGTAACAAAATAACAACACAATGCCAGCAAGTGGGACCAACAAAAACACTTCGGATGTGTCAGCAGTGTCCTGATTTTAACCAAATAAATTTACATCAAGTACATCATTTGTTGACTTCCTTTAAGATTTCAAAAAAAATTAAAATCACAAAGTCTGAGAAAATGTGTTATATTTTGGGCTGTGATCATAGAGTTGTAATTTATCTTGTCTCCTCCTTAAATAAAAATGTGTTGAGCAATTCAGCGAGATGACCTAAACGTAATATAGTTTATTCCAAGATCGGTTTATTCTCCACAGGAGTGTGGCCCCCTGGACTCTGAGGCCATGGTGATGGGGGTGTTGGATCAGTCGTTTGATGTTCTGGTTCTTCGCTACGGAGTACAGAAACGCATCTACTGCAAGGTCAGCTGCAATACTGCAGTTACAGGGATCGGCTTTTAAATGTATTCAGCAAATATGTGCATACTAGTACTTTTACTTTTTCAGATACACTCAATTTAAAGAAAACTTTTTCAGTTTTTAACATAATAACTTAAATGTGCGGATGGAGGTTAACTTTGACTTATTCAAAAAAGTAGTAGGTGGTCCAGTGTGAGCGTCCAACAAGTCAGCACCACAGCAGTAGGTCCAGTGACAATTTCATCTGAAACTTTTTGCTTTCACCTTCAGTCTGTTGCGGGCCTGGCCTCATTTCACCATCATAAGGTGGGAAAGAAATCTGAGCTGACCCTGGTCTGGACACCAGATGACTTAGAGAAATCTCCAGTGGAGCAGGTGAGAACCACAGCCACTGAAAATGATTCTGTTACAGTCTGACCTGCTCTTATATTGTTATGTTATTTGATGTACGTCTTTACTGAATGATGACAATGTTCTTTTTACAATAATACCTAAGCATGGTTTGATAATATATGAAAGTAACAGGACCACAGACCGTCACGAAGTCCCAACAGTCCTCTCATGAAACCAATTAAATTCACTGGATCCAGATGTTTATTTGGATTTTTCATCAAGATTCATTCATTATTCTCTGATAAACCTAATTGTTCCCTGAACGCCTTATCTCTCAGTGTTAAAGAAAATGGAAAAAAAATCCTAGATCTGCCTCCTGATCTAGGATCCACCTCAAAATGGAATGGGCTCCTTCCTGACCCATATCGCACCCTTCCATTAAATTTCATTGTAATCTGCATTATCCTCTTAACTAACAAACAAAAACGCAACTCCTTTGACTGTCAGATGTTCATCATTTGCTGTTTCCTTTACAGATCATTTCACTCTTCACTCTGGTGGAGGTGCAGCTCCAAACCGACAGCGCACCGATGAAATACAGCGCAGTGCTCAAGAGGCCCGATGACAACGCACCATAAATACAGGGATGCGCCCTGGTGCACACACACACTTAAACAGAAGTTTGGGATTGCATTTTTTCTTTTTGTTGATTCATATTCTTGACATGTAGTTTAGAAGCAGTGTTATTGTGAGGGCAGGGCTGTCACAGATCAGATCAGAGTCAGATTTAATTTGAAGTTCCTGCTGAGTTTCTGTCTCAATGTAAACAACCAGCCCAGTGCAAGTCAAGTTTTAAGCCACAAATAACACCAACTTATAAACCACCAATATTCATTTTCAAAGCTTGGCATCAATCTAATTTACGTATGAAATAAGTGGTTTGAAACAAAGAGATATTTAAAATAAAATCAGTCCAAGTCTTAGAAAAAGTCACTAATGGTCAAACGTTTCTCTTTGTACGTAACTCAGTATGGATTTCAAATTGTGTTTGGGCTCAGGTCTGACTGTGAAATAAGCTGCAATGACTTTTATTTTGCTGATGATTTATTGACCTAATGAGGTCAGCGTTGATGTGATATAACTGTTGCACAATGTCAATTGTGTGAAAACTGATTTTTAACTGTTTTTAGTTCAATATTATTGATTTCCTAGGTAGAAAAGACACCCATGTCTGTGTTTGCAAACTATATCACTACTTACGTTTGGCTGCGGTGGTTTTAATATAACTTGTGGTGGGCGTAGAGGAGTAAGGGCCCGCTCCCACATATGCAAATGTTACAGCAGAGATCAACTTAGATGAACTTTGCCCCACAATATTCGCTTCACGTCAGTGTATGTGTGAACGTGCCTTTTGACTACATCAGATTCAAGGAAAAGGAAGAAGAGAGTTTGCTTAGGAACAAAATACCTCCTGCCGTGTGTCATCCATGACTTTTTTATAGCACCTGTGTGTATTTATAGTGTTTTATACAGGACCTGTTTTCTTTTGGATGTGTCTGGGGTGTTAGTCGTGGGAAGGGAACGACTTCAGGTTATTCATGTCGAAGTCATGAAGACCAGCTCACAGGAGATGATCATTTTTAAAATGAGGGCTTCATGCATTTAGCATGTTCTAACAAGGTAGCAGAGGTGTGCCAAAGCTTCATTATTTATCAACTCATTGTTTTTTAACACAAAACATGGGAATGACTTGAATGTATGGTGACCGAGACGTCTCACACAAGCATATTAACAGAAAACATGAATGCAAAAACCACATCACAACAGAAAGAGAATCACAATGGAAGGGAGCGACAATGGATTTTGACAATGAAAAGTGCAGAGTTACTTTTGTACAGTACATACGCTCCATTCCAAGCAGCTAAATCATAACACCAAGAGTTTTCACAAACAACTGCTCACTTGACAACAGAAAGTAACTCTGTTGTCGCTCTCATCTGTTGTGTTGTCACCTTTGCATTTGTGTTGTCTGTTAACACGGTTGTGTGAGACGTCTCAGCCACCGTATGAATGTGATTTGCTGCTGAAAACGTTTAGTGGCCTTAAGATCGAAATTAATTCTATGTTGGCTGATGTGCTTTGTTTGTTTGTTTGGTTTTTAATGATCAAATTTGTGCAGCACCAGTACTTTATAGACCTCCTAAGTATCAACTGTGAATTTCAGCTTCACTTAAATGAAAATACAAAGGACTGGCTTTCATTCCAGCTGCACATTTTAAAACGGACCTGGGCTCCACCTTTGCTTTAAGTCAGTGTACGTCTTTAGTTGTCTCCTCATTCTGACTCTAATTGAACTGTGCCATGTAGGTGTACAGATTAGCTGCTACCTCTGAACATTTTTTGGAATTCCTTTTCATTGCCATCATTTTTAGGCTTGTCAAATTTTTCTTTTTGAAAACCTCCCAGCTGATGCTTTTAATTTATTTTGTTTTACATTGACAACATGAGGCATGAGCTTTAAATGTATCTTTAAACCAGTAAGTGGTTAGTTGTCAAAGACAACTGTAGTAGTAAATGTGTCTTTGTGATTAAACTTCAGTTAAAGCAAATGAAGATTTAACAACAACCTCTGTGTATCTTCTGTAAAATACACTCACCTGTATCTGTCACTCTGGTTAAAATGTAAAGTGCATTTGTTCTCTGCTTCACCACCATACAGAGAAGTAGAGCGCTGTCTTTGTGTCTTGGTAAATAAATACGTACATGACATCCACTGGGAAAATAATGACTCGGGTTGTTTCCTTCTTATTAAGAGGAGGTTGTCTTCACCCTGTCTGTTTGCAAGATTGCGCAAAAACTACCAAATGGATTACGAGGAAACTTGGTGAAATAATGTGGTATGGGTCAAAGAAGATCCCATTACATTTTGTTACAGATCCAGATTGGGGACAATTTTTTGTTGCTCTCTTTAAAATTGCGAGGAAGTTTGTTTGAGGACATTTTAGTTGATTTCTCAGTGGTGCAGGAAGTACTCTTAACTAAGATGAAATAAAATTCTGGATGAGTGAATTTGAATGTGGTTTCATAAAGAGGCTGTTGGTGGAGGTTTGTGCTCTGCAGTGTCATCCTGTTTTTTTTATTTTATTTTTTAATAATTTTCCTGACAGCAGTTTTAACACAACTGAATTTTGGACTTGATGGTGAAGTCATTGAAGATGAGGAGGGAAACACATTCTGCGTGTGAGTGAGCGATCACTGCTGCTGCTATAGTGATGCATTTACGACTCTATAATCTAATGAACCACACTGTGGCACTGCCCCCCTCTGTTTAGCTGATACAGTGAATAAACACAGATAAACTGTTCTTTATTACCAGGGAGGGTCTGTTATTAATCAACTAAGTCAGTCCAACAGTGTGACGCAGATTGCAATTTGGACTTCTGTCACAGTTTATGATCTTCTGTGTAAACCATAGTTGCTGTATACTCCACACCCAATGAATAATACTTCCCCACTTCCACGATTTCTTCCCCACTTGTCCAGCATTAATGATGCCACCAAGACCCAACAGTCCCCATATGAAAACATGTTTAAAATTCACTAGACTAACAAAGACACTTGTTGCAATTGACTGCCACGGTGGTACCACACATAAATATCCATACTAACACCGTAGTAATGCTTCCACAGACAGCAATTGGACAGTTCTATGTGTATGACAAATTTAATGACTAAAGTACTAATAATGAGTAGAGTACAGTTTGACTCAGGCCACTTTATTCTCTCTCACCAGACATGGACTTTGATTTCCATGTGCAACCCAACTTGACCCGTCGTGTCCAATTAGGGTGGAGTCGAGAAGTGAAGATAAACAAATCATAAAAACATTTGGTCAGAAGTCTCAGAATAAGAACAGAGCATGGTGAACAATGTTTACGGTAGCCAGCAACATCAATTCATAATAACGTATTTCATGGCATTTCACTCTAACACCGTAGTAATGATTCCACAGATGGTAATTGGACAGTACTACGTGTACGACAAATGTAATGACTGAAGTACTACTAAGCAGTAAAAACTACAGCTTCCACTTGTTAGTGAAGTTTCCTAGAAGCTGTTTAAGGAGAACTCAGGCAGCAGCTGATGTGCAGAAGAATTAATGTTGATGTTTTAAGGAAACCAGAGGGCGAAACACTCACAGAGTAACATGAGCTATTGTCACCCCCAAGTCTGAAGATGTCTCCCACACCATCCCAATATATCGTCCTCTACTTGCGTCACCAAACAGCTTTACAGAAATTCCTGTCACTCTCTATGTTACCTGTAGGTGTTCACATGTTGGATAGTTAAGTCTAAATATTCATTCCTAAATCACATTGTGTCCGTACGTCTTGCCACTGGTGTAATACACAAAAGAGTAGAAGTTGGTGAGAGGTGAAGTTGGTCTGGGGAATCTGAGTTAGATATGAAAGTCCCTGAGCGTAGACACTACAATGCACCTTTATCTATAACCTGACCTTGGGTACTGCTTAGAGAGAGAAGGGAGTGTGTGGCCCTGGGATCTGTGGAATTAGACAGGCACTCTTCTCCTATACAGGTATAATGTATTACACACTATATATACATAATATGTAGTGTCATATACAGTTATGTGTGAGGACAGTCAAAATTCCTCAACACCACTTATTGTTGATACATGGAGCAGCCATCTTGGATTTCGAAGTCGGGGGGATGAGGTTCCTCTGACCTTCCAAGGCGAAATTCCGACTTGAGGAGGCGTTCAGGTTGCAACTTCCGACTCAGGGATCGCTAACACCGAGCTCCGAAGTAAAATAGAAGGTGGCATTATTTGGATCTACGCCAAATTGCACACACTCATAAATATCAGACCTTTAAACATGCCTGGTTGTTTTTCATCAAGATCCATGAATTATTCCCTGAGATCAAAAATAATGAAAAAAGTAAAAAACAATTCCTGGATCCACCTTCTGATCCGGATCCACACCAAGTTCTTCCTTGACCCATACTACATCCTTTCACCAAGTTTTGTGGAAAACATTATCTCCTTGGTGTAGCTCATTAGTGCTATGCAATACTGAAAACTTAAAGCTACACCAGTAAAACCTTTGGCATTTTATCAATGGTGCAATAATTCACTGTCTACAAGGTGTTTGTTTGGTTAAACATCCAGTTTTAATTTTATAAGCAAAAGAAAGTCTCACTCTTTTCTTTTCAAATGTTTTATTGCGTCACTTTAAAGTAAGAAAAATCTGCCTGCTCTTATCGTCTCAACAGGATAATCCCATGTTGTCATTAGGAATGAAGTCAAAGATCAGGCATGTCTACGTCATAGGCTGATAAGCATGAAGAACATTTTCACCAACCCAGCCCATTGTAGCACTGTTTTCACTTTCAGCCCACTTGACATAATGGCTTCAATTTGATGAAGGAAACAGATAACTGACTCGCCTGTTAGAGAAAGGCTCTCCCCTGAGGTTTCTATAGAACAGCTTTTACACTGACACAGTATTTAACTGGCAGTGAAATATGCAGTTTATAGAATTCCATTATACATCATTCACAGCATGAAAACCTGACTGATCCACAACCAGTGAGTCCCTTTAGTGTATCACATGACTGTGGTTTACCTAGGAGATGATTATTTGTCTTGGGCTATAAATCTGGTTCTTAATTTAAAAGATAACTCATTTTATATTTATTCCGATAACAATCTGTGAGATGCTCCGCAGTGTCTCATCTCAGCCATAACCAGGGTCCAAAGGCTGCACATTCATAACAGCAGTCACCATTTTACCCTGGTCAATCAAGACCAATCATATAAAAGTGTGATTTCACCAATATATGCATGTGCTGATATGCTCTAGATCGTTTCGGAATTACATTACATTATTATTTAAACAACCCGACTGTCATCACCTGTTCACATTGCTGCAGAAGACTGTATTACAAAGTGTGTGGTACTACTATACATATAAGCTATGGCAGTCATACAAGATTTAAATGATGATGGAAGACCTACATATTAACGTGGCCTGAAACACAGCCCCTTGATAACGGGACACCTCTCCGTAAGCGATCAGTTTCTTTTCCTCTTCCTTTACAGTCAGTTCAAAGTCAAAGAGCCATAAAAACTGATGTAGGGAAAATGTGTTCCCTCCTTCGTCACATTGAGAGACTCAAGAAGGCATCAGAGACGAACACCTACTCTGCGGCAGACTGGAAGAGTGGGGAATTCATGAAGATCGCTGTTTAAAAAAGGACAAGGTACACCTCTTAATTGTTTAACCTATGTGTTATGATGAAGTGAAGAGTTTTTATTTTGTTACCTACACGGACACTGTGCACTGAGCACAGCGGTGATCCTTGTAATGAACACAACAGAAAGGACCTTCATTCTGAGTTGGGTACAAAAAGTAACTTGGAGTTTTTGTGAAAATTACAACTCATCTTATGGATTCCTTTGTTTTTTAGGCAGTTGGAAAGCTGAACGTTGGGGATGCTGAGAAAAGTAAGGCTGACGGAGAGTTAAGAATATGGATTTTATTGATAAGAATCTTGCTTACCAGGAAGCATTCATTTGTTCCTTGACTTCACATGTCCTTGAAGTCATTCATTCAAAGGCAAACTGTAAAGATTTATTATTATTAATGAAAGAAAAATATGGATGTATTTAGACATTGAGTTGTGCGTGTTTTCAGGGGGAGTGGGTGTGGGTGGACTCTGCCAATGGGGTCCCCATCGGAGCCAGGGTCAAAGTATCAGAGGCTGGTCAGCGGCTGCTGGTGGATGATGAGGGAAAGGTAAACGCACTTTGTTACCCTTTATTATGAAGCTGTTGTTCCACCTCAGGTAGTTTAAACACATTTCCAGCCTGGGATCACAGCTAAACAAGCTTAGATTTATTTCTCACTTCAACCTCCTCTAGGAGCAGAGTCTGTCCCCGGAACAGGAGGCCTCTCTCAAGATCATGCACCCGACATCAGTGGAGGGTGTGGACGACATGATAAAACTGGGGGACATGACAGAGGCCGGCCTCCTCCGAAACCTGCTGCTGCGACACAGACAAGGAATCTTTTATGTAAGGCACATCTGTAACACACACACAGCAAAATATTACTCTTGTCTATTAATAAGTCCTGTGATACCATGTTAAAAATCTGTCTTGTGATTACACTGACACACTGGGGCGTTTCTGTTTGCACGCTCTTCCCTGTGTTCGTGTGGCTTTTCTCTGAGTACTCTCAGAGATCAAAGACATGCAGTTTGGGGTTGAGTTAATTGGAGACTCTACTTTTTTCATGAGTGGGAATGTGAGTGTGAATGGTTGTTTGTGTCCATATGTTGACCCCGCCCCAGATCCTAAATAGTATAAAAGTAGTGTATTAAACACATGATCTTATGTAAACAGTTATATTGTACATAGTAACATTGTACACATGATGATATTGTACAGCTAGGATTTCATTGCACTTGGTTAAGTTCTCTGATGGCACTTGCAGACCTACACAGGTTCCGTGCTGGTTGCAGTGAACCCATACCAGGATTTTCCAATATGCTCAGTTGAGAAGGTGAGACTGTACACAGAGAACTGCTTGAATTAACAGTTACCATACAAATACAAGCTGAATCTTGTTTCATGTGTGCATCTGTTCTGTCCTTCAGGTGAACTTGTACCATGGACGAAAGCTCGGGGAACTCCCGCCACACATCTTTGCCATCGCTGAATCCTGCTACTTCAACATGACACGGCATCTCAGGAACCAGTGCTGCATCATCAGGTCAGCAGGATGAACCCACTGACAAATGGCCAATTAACTGTTGCCTGTCAATAGCCCTGAATTGAATAAATGTGGAGTAACATGTTTCCATCACTAAACCATTTATTCTGTTGTTTTTTGTCTCAGTGGGGAGTCAGGAGCAGGGAAGACAGAGAGCACTAAGCTGATCCTGCAGTACCTGGCAGCAGTCAGTGGGGAGCACTCTGAGCAGAGGGTCGAACAACAGATTCTAGAGTCCAACCCAATACTAGAAGGTACAGTTGTGCTTCAGACAAGCATTAAAACACATAAGAACACACCTTGAAACCAGAATGACACTCAGTAGAGCGCATACTTCCGGTGAGGCCCTGAAGTAAAAAGTGGCCCTGGGAATGTTATTTCTACTTAAGGCCAGGGTGGGAGAACATATGTTGCTCTGCTTTGTCATCGCCATTTTCAACATTATCAGTGATTTTGGCTGATTCTTCATCTTGTTACTTCTTGTCATGGACATATACACTTCGTCTCTGCGGTTCTCGATTCATCTTTTACACAATGTTACGTATGTTGTGCCTGATATGCACTGATTGATATACAAATTGGGACAGCAGCGCTCGATGATACAGAATTTTTTAAAAGACAGATGTTATGCCCCACAATTATGTGGCCCAAGGGGCGGACAACATGTATAACTGACCACCACTGACACGAATCATCGACAGAAAGCCAAACAATTGGATTTACTAACATCAAATGACACAATACACACAGTGTTCTAATCCCAGGCTGAGGCCCAGCAGTCCCCACACTGGAAGCCTTCCTTCTGATCCTGACACAGGAGTTTTTAATGAAACTCAATCCACTGGCAGGTGCAACTCATTGAGGACTGATCGGTTAATCAGGGTGGATCTACACGAGGGACAAGAGATATACAGGGACACAGTACAGGAACACATACAGCCGTAACAACGGATAATTCCCATTAAATTCAAACAAAATGAACAAGCTGTTTTAAAAATGTAAGGGGTAGAGAGTACAAATGTTTGTGTTAAAATGTAGAGAGTAAAAGTAAAAACTTACAGTACACTTCTTTGTAACTTGTACTTTGTTACTTCCCACCACATAATATTCACCATATATAACCATATTTACCAGTATAGTTAATAATTCATTTTATTATATTATTATTCCATATTTAAATTCACTAATTCACCAGATTTTTATTTGGGTCTGCACCAAATTGCACACACAAACACCAATAGATTTCAGTCCCCTAAACATACCTAATTATTTGATGAAGATCCATGAATTATGCTCTGTGAAATCAAGGAAACTATGGAAAAACATCTCACAATGTTTAAGAAAGTGAAAAAACATTGTGGGATCTGCTTCAACTTAATGACGTCTTTCTGGACCCATACTGCATCCTTTCCAACACGTTGCATGGTAATCCGTCCACTGGTTTTTGTGTAATCCTTCAAACAAACAAACAAACCAACCAATGAACAAACAGAGACGGGTGAAAACATTACTTCCTTGGCGTAGGTGACGAGTCTAGAGCAAACACATGAAATGAGAATAAACTGGTTTATTTAAGAATCCAGCAGTGCCACAGAATAAGTGTCTAAAAGTCCAATTGCAATCGAAGCCACTCTATTCTGTTTATTTCAGCTTTTGGAAATGCTAAAACAATCCACAATGACAACTCCAGTCGTTTTGGGAAATATTTGGAGATCTTCTTCAACAAGGACGGAGTGATCGAGGGAGGCCGTGTGGAGCAGTATCTCCTGGAGAAGTCTCGTGTCTGCCACCAGGTGAGATCAGCTCTGTCCAAACAAAAGGAGCTCTTATCTCCCTGGAGAGAGAGGCTGTGTCCTGTTACTGTAAACTCATGAAATCATATCCATCTATTCTGGGTCTTGTTATATAAACATCACTGTTGACCAGGAAGACAAACCCACATCATGTCATTGTTGCTGTCTCTTTGGATCACTGTACTAAGTCATACAAATACACACATCATGTAAAAAAAGTACCACTTAACCAACGCAGCAAAAATAACAATAAAGCTTCATTCTTACTCCTCGACCTCAGGCACTGGGAGAGAGAAACTACCACATATTTTATTGCATGCTGAGAGGAATCACTGCAGAGGAGAAGAAAACTCTGAGGCTTGGAGATGCTAAGGAATACAAATTCCTCACTAAGGTATTTTAACACTTATCTGCAGCTCATTGTGCATGTTGTACACACACACATTAAATAATCGAAACCCTCCCTCTTATGTGCTGCAGGGTGATTGTATCACATGTGAGAGCAGAGATGATGCAAAAGACTACAGTCATATTCACTCTGCTATGAAAATCCTGACCTTCTCCAAAAGCCAGTGTGAGGAAATCCACAAGCTGCTAGCAGCCATCTTACACCTGGGAAACGTCTGCTTTGAGGGTGAGCATGCACTTTCTGTACAACTCTATTTTTATTAGTTTGGTTAGTTTACAGGTGATTTATTTAATGTCAAGAGATCTGTTAATAAAATAGAGGCAGGCAAGCGATGACAGACAATGAGATACAATGAGAAATATAACTGGTATAAACAGCAATGGAAGAAATATTCAGTTTAAATACATTTACTTTTTGACTGTAGTAAATTGTTCATGTATCTGTACTTTACTTAAGTTGATTTAGTTTCTGGTCCTTTTCACTTTTAATCCATGACATATATTAGCAAATATCTGCACTTTATATTTCATTACATTTTTACAAAGCTTTGCCATTACATCTTTACATTGTTTTTCATATTTTTGTAAAATGGTTCACTGATCTAATCTGAGTGGTCAGGTAACATTAGACCCCGCCTCCTCCAGCAGCAGTATCGCTGACGAGGAAGAAAAACCTGAAATTAATTCACAAGAGGCAGAGACTCAGTGTTCTCAGTCAGCATTCTTTATCAACACAAACGATTCAGCAGGCACAGTTAATGTTCAGTAGACTGTTGCCTTAGATCATAGGCAGCAAGTACTTTTAATACTTTAAATATACTTGTATAAAGCACTATATAAGTACTTACTATTACTCAAGAAGCAAAGTAAATGTGGTACTTTTACTTGAGTATATTTTTATCAATTTATTTGTGCTTTTATTAATTGATTTAGCACTTCCCCCACCACTGAACACAAAATCAAGCCGACTGAGAGGCTTCATTCAATGTTCACATCAAACATCAGAAAGTTCATCAGTGACTTTGACTGTGGCAAGATTGTTGGTGTGAGACAGGCTGGTTGTTGTATTACTGAAACTGATATCCTAGGATTGTCACATACTAGAGTTTTACTTCAACGTAATAAGTTAGTGGCAGTTCTGCGAACAGAAATGTCTCTTTGATGAGAGACATCGAAGGATCGCCTGATGATCTGTATCTGCTCCAAAATTGAATGGCTTCTTCCCTGAACCAATCCTTCCACCAGGTTTCATGGTAATCAGTCCAGTAGTTTTTGCGTAATCTTGTTTACAACAAAGAAACATGCAAACCAAACATAACCTCCTTGGTGGAGGTAAAAATGAGCACAGTGGCTTCCCCAGTCACCAGACCATCAACCAATAGAAAACCTTCTGAGATGTGGTAGAACAGGAGATTGGCTGCTAACTCTGCACTAATGATGTGATGCAGTATGTCAACTGTGAAGGAAAATGTATCTTTTTATAGAATCTATTCCACAAAGAGTTCAGGCTGTTTTGAGAGAAAGGGATCTACCTAACATTTGAGTGTTCCTGATGTTTCAGTGAGAGTAAAAAGTAGCACAAATGGAAATACTTAGTATAAATTGGTACTTAGTATATTTCTACATCCTAATATATTGCATATGCTCAGCTCACTGGAACATCATTTGTTAGAATTTACTTTTGTAACAATATTAACTATAACTGCTGTTATTACAACTGATCTTTGGTTTCCATCAGCTACAACTCAAAATAACCTGGAAACCAGTGATGTCAGCAAGTCTGAACATTTCAGCCAAGCAGCTTCTCTACTGGAGGTGGGTTTCCTCACGTGTAAAGAGATAATTTCTTCTAAATCGTTAATATTATGACATTAACTTTTTTCCTGTCTGCTCTCTGCAGGTACAGACGTCTTCTCTGGCAAAGAGTTTGACGCACCGTTCCTTTATGACCAACAGGGAGAGGGTGACCACACCCCTTAGCTCCGAACAGGCCGCAGATTGTCGAGACGCCTTCGTCAAGGTAATGAACCCATAGCCAATGGCGGTTAATAAGCATTTTGTGTCTTTTCTTATACAGGTTTTTTAAATGCAGAAAAAGGAAATTAACTCCTTTCCCATTGCCAGCAGAGGAGTTTGCCTCACTATTTTTTACCCTGGTTCATCATGTTCAACATCTCATATGCACAAAAAACTGAGAGGCTGTCTTGCCAGTGTTCAACCGGATTTCTCGTTTCCATCACCGATGATCGGAGCTGACAAAAACTTTTTTACCACAGATTCATTTGACCCGGGAGTGAATACTGATTGTATCCAATAACATTGCAGACAAGACCTAGATGTTAATGGGTTTTTTCGATCCCTGGAAAAAGGGCTTAGGTATTTATTGATGTTTTGTTCAGTATAAGGGAGTATCTTCATTCATCAGGATAAGGTGTCGAGGTTATCCAGAGATGCGAAGCAACTATTCAATTGTAACTTAACTTAATATTGCCAAGTATGGTCTGAATTAATTGTGATCTATTGTTTGTCTCAACTCACAGGCTATCTACAACAAACTGTTCATATGGATTGTGGAGAAAATCAACAGTGTCACCTATAAGAAACTGACCAGCAGCAAGTCTTCCTTCCAGTCCATTGGTCTGCTTGACATCTTCGGCTTCGAGAACTTCAGCACAAACAGGTGCAGACATTTCACCACACATCCTTCACATTAAGTGTATCACAACTCCACAGCTACCCAAACCTGAACAAAAACTTAAGTTTCATAGCTATTTGTGGCCCATGGGCAGGAAAATATATAAGCCTGTGCAGTATAATACAATATTTAGCATGTCACACATACAAAACATCATAAAAAATATGCAGGCCGTAGTCTCCATTTTAGAAAATGGTTCCGTTAAATATCATCCTGCCATTTTACAGTTTTGAGCAGCTGTGCATTAACTTTGCCAACGAGAAGCTCCAGCAGTTCTTCGTGGCTCACATCTTCAAGCTGGAGCAGGAGGAGTATCTGAAAGAGGACATTGTGTGGAACAAGATGGATTTCAGTGACAATCAGAACATCCTGGACCTTCTGGCTGGGAAACCCTGTAACCTGCTGGCTCTGATCGATGAGGAGAGCCTATTTCCAAAGGTGGCGTTATGCTATTGGTTCATAAGTGTTGTTTGATCATTTTAACATAAAGTTTTCTAATTGTAGTTTGGTTTGTTGCAGGGCTCAGATTTCACTATGCTGAACAAGATGAACCAGCAACATAGTAGGAACAAGGCCTACATTGCCACAAAGAGTGAATACGACACAAATTTTGGTATTCAACACTTTGCAGGCGTGGTTTACTATGAGTCCAAAGGTAAGCAAACAAATTGCAATTAATCAAACTAGAAACTAAATATTCTGCTGTGAGATAATTAGTAATTGTCTTTTTTCCTCTAAGGGTTCCTGGAGAAGAACAGAGATGCCGTCAGTTATGACATAATCAAGATGATTGAAGTGTCCACCAATAAGCTACTTCGTCAGATATTTCAGACTGATCTCTCAACCAATGGGGTCAAGATTACAAACAACACAAAGGTCATCATAACACCGAAGAGCTCTGTGCGGGTAACTCTATTGAGTTTAATATTTCTACATGTGTAAATATGTAAATGAGGAGGTCGTTTTAGTTCAAATGAAGAAAAATCATTTCACCCCTTAACCTATTTGCAGAGTTTTCACTGTAAGTTAAAATGATAGATTTTGAAACTTGTTAAGATATGTATTTGTGGATACAGTCAACATGCATTGATAATGTCATTGGTGTCAGAGATGTCCCTTTTTTTGCTGACTGGCTATGGTGTGTTTTTGTCTTCCTCCATCATCCGTACAGGCCAAGGCTGACAAACGTAAACAAGTGCCAACGCTGAGCGGCCAGTTCCGTCAGTCTCTGGAATCCCTCATGAAGGCTCTGTCGGCCTGTCAGCCTTTCTTCATCCGCTGCTTCAAACCCAACAGTAGCAAGAAGTCTCAGGTGAATGACACTAGAGCAACTCAATAAGAAAAGTGAGATTAGGAGTTGAAATGAAGATAAACTCAAACAAAAGTGCACCCAGGCAAATTAAGACTATTCCCCCTTGATCCTAAATGCTGTTTCCTGAAATAAGGATAATGTTGCTGTGCTTATACAACTCCAGTCTGCATCTGTTAGATGACAATGAAATGAATTTTCTATCAGCTTTCCACCCTCTCCACCACCTGCTCTTTTACTGGATAAACAACTATCTCTTCCTGTTTGGTGCCATAAAGCAATTGCGCAAATTTCCTGTAAAACATCATCTGTTAACAAACAGGGTAAAGTGCAGTATCTGTGAGGCTTAACACTCCTGTTCAAGTTAGCAACCTTCCTTCTGTAATTTCGCCATGATAGCATTGTGGTTCTATTGATGTCAGTCCAGCACTTTGGTCCGTTTTGTTCTTGAAAAATGATTGGATTAATTGCCAAGAAATACAGACATCCCTGATCCCCAGAGGGCCTACTGAATTGATGGATAGAAAGATAGATAGATAGATAGATAGATAGATAGATAGATAGATAGATAGATAGATAGATAGATAGATAGATAGATTCATAGATAGATTGAAAGAAAGAAAGATGACAGAAATGCTACTCAGAGCCTCACAGACTGAATATTCACAACCACTTTACTCTGTCCTCTAGGTGTTTGACAGAGATCTGTGTATGCGTCAGCTGAGATACTCCGGCATGATGGACACCATCCACATCCGGAATCTGGGATACCCAATTCGCCACAGCTTTGAGGAATTTGTGAAGCGCTACAGGGTGCTGCTGAGGACGACCATCTGTGATCCCAACACTGTTAGTCATGACATGGTCCTGTTGAGGATTATACTTGACAATGTTCACAATTGGTTTCATCAAGTCTCTGTCATATTTGTGTAACTTAGAATGTTGTTGCTACAGTAAATGTTGTGGCCAGATGGATGAATAAGTGATTCTGTCTTTCCCCTGGAGGAATTTGGAATGTCATTAGACTTTCCTCAGAAACTCTTTATTGTCTCTCCAGGAGACAGCTGCTGCTTGTTGTCAGGCCATCTGCAAGACAGTGATCGAAGGGGAGGAAAGGTGGAAAATAGGCAGGACCAAGATTTTCCTAAAGGTACAGAAAAAATATTATTCAAACCATATTGTGTCTTTGTCTTTTTTTCAAGACAGAAATGACGTGGCTGCAGACTGGTGAAGTATTATCAGTATTAGGATCCAGACCAGCATCTACGTCTATAATTGACATTACAGCCTCTGTTTTGTGATTTATGTTCTGTTCAGTTGTTGCTGTGCTACAGATGACTATGATTCAGTTGCTTCTAATGAGACTTGGACGATTTATTTTAAAACATTGTGGCATCTGATTGCAAATAATTCCTCAACAATTCAAGAAATAATCATGACTCTGTTTTCATTCTATTTCAGGATGCCGATGATGCGATCCTGGAACGACTGAGGGAAGAAGAACTCAGCAGGATAGCTGTGATTATCCAGAGGGTCATGCTCGGACACAAAGACAGGTGCAGTTTCTGAGAATACACATTAAACAGTACAACATACCTCCATTAATGCCCCACACTGCACTCACTCATTGAAATCAGCCCTCTGAATATGCCAGATTTTTTTAAACAAGATCCATACATACACAAAAAATGCCCTATCCCGCAATAACAAAAAAAGACATTTATTAAAAATTCCTGGATCCGCAACTGAAATTTAAAAGGATACCGTACATTACTTTAACCTATAACAGGTATGTGTTCACTGTGGCTGCACATAATGTTATTTTATTGGCATACATGTTGCAAAATCAAACAAATTAATAGATTATGTAGAAGGTGTAATTAACCTACGCTAACACAGAGCGTGGTTGGTTAATTTTTTTATCTCTACAACTTTAATTTCCTTTATTTTCTAGAAAGTCTTTTCTGAAGAAGCGACAGGCAGCCGTGGTGTTGCAGAAGCGTTGGAGAACATATAGAGAAGAGAAAGTGCAAAGAAAGGTCTGATGCTTTATAACGTCTGATAGAAGTCAGACCACGTATCTTTTAAATGTATAAAAGACTGGACTTCAGGTACCTTTGTTTCCACTCTTGTTTCAACTAGATCAAGCACGGCTATGAGCGGCTGGCATCAATGATCCGTAGTCGGAAACTCCAGTTACAGTACCAAAGACAGTGTGCAGCAGCACTCACCATACAAACACAGGCATGTACTGTACTCACTGCAGTGTAACATATAATGGATCGTTTTGGATTTCCCAGGTTACATTATGTATATGCGTGTGCATGTGTGTAGGATCGTAAGTTTAAGAATATGTAACAATTCTCTGTTTAATATACTTAAATACTTCAGTATATGTAAAATTTAGAAATTCATGTGATTAACAATGATTCATTTGATCATTTTTTAATTACTTGTATGACGTGTCATTACAATCATGAAATCTTGAATCTTGAAAAAATTATTTCTGGATATTTTTAGCAATATCAATTTCACTAATATTTTATATATGGTAAATCTATCTTGCACAGATTCTGGTTGTTATTATAGAGAGGCGAAACTATTGTTCATTAGGTCTGTCACAAAATGATTCATAATAAACTGTAGGTGCGAGGCTACCAGAAGAGGAAGCGCTGGGGGCAAAAAAGAAAGGCAGTCATACTGCTGCAGGCTCACACCAGAAAACTCCTGGCCAGAAGAACAGTTCAGAAGATGAGGGATGATGTAAGTGCTGAAAGTTCTGAATCTAGAAATACAATGAAGTGATGAATGTCAAGAAATTGGTGTCATATCTACATCCTCTCTTCTCCCAAACCCATCACAGGCCTTCACTTCACGCCTAGAGAATGAGAACTGGGACCAAATAGCCTTAGCCTTTCAGCAGGGACTGGAAGACCTTGTTTCTGCATCACAGTCAGCTGATGAGGAGCCGGAGCTGGAGCCGGAGCTGGAGCCGGAGCCGGAGCCGGAGCCGGAGCTAGAGCTGGAGCTGGAGTCGGAGTTGGAGTCAGATTTGGAGTCGGAGTCTGCACCTGAAACTGAGTCAGTTATTGAACAGAGTTCAGAGGAAAACTCATATGATTTCCTGCCTGCACCTGCTGTGGAAGTGGTGCAACAAAAAGCATTTGAATCAGACGAGTTTAAGGTTAGCTAACAAGTCTGTCATGTGATCTGCTAAACTGATATTTATACATCTCTTACATACCTTACATTTTTATCATACTGAATGAAACTTTAATTACTTTGATTGTCAAGAAGAGGACCATACAAGAGCCAGCAGAGGAAGCCTCTATTGAAACCTCAGGGTCAGATTTGGAAATGGCCTCTCCGTTATCAGCTCCCGCTACACCTCCAGCTACACCTCCAGAGGACGAAGATGATGATGACTTTGATGACGAAAGCGACCAGTTTTCATTATACAAATTCAGCATCCTTCACTTCCAGAGCAACATCTCTCACACACACATTAACCAGAGACTCAAGCAGACCCTTCTGCCCCATGATGATGAGGGTGATACACTGGTAAGAGGATGGAGAGCTTCTTACTCTGAATTTTTTTTTAAATCGTCCTCAAACTCTCTTCTCATTCTCCTCCAGGCCTGTCTGACTGTGTGGTGGATTATTCTTCGCTTCATGGGGGATTTACCAGAGCCTAAATCTCTGGATGCAACATCTCAAGTGTCAAGCACCCTCGTGCAGCGTCTGCCTCATAGTACGAGCCGAAGGCTGAGCAACCTGGTGGGACTTGACCAGGTAGAGTAGTCCGAACATTAAATACCATGAAAAAGCTTTGCACAAAAATATGCTACAACGCAGGATTACAGATGCCATAATACATATGTCAGCTAATGGCCTCACAACAAGCAGCACCTGTCTCCTGGAGAGTCTTTTCTGAACATTTATATTATATAGGACTGGTATATTTGTAGTGACACTGCAGAAATCCAGTCTTTGTGGCAGTGTGCTGTTTCACTATATTCACTAAAGAATGTATGTGAAGATTCTCAGTCATTGAGGTCACGGTCATCCAAATTTCAGTGATTTCACTCTATATTATCTAAGAAATGGTGTATCAATGGTACCCAAACATTCAAATATCACAAAACATGCAGTCACCCTCAATTCAACTTTTCTTGGATAATAAAAAGTGTTAAAGCACTGAAATACAGACCTATTATCTGAACTGTTGGACACTAAACCACCCAGTTATGATAGAAATTAAACTATACCTACATAGGTGCCAGTTCAACTCCTGGGCACTGCCGAGGTGCCCTTGAGCAAGGCACCGAACCCCCCAATTGCTCCCCAGGCGCCTTCATGGCTGCCCACTGCTCCGTGTGGTCACTGTGTGTATTGTGTTCCGTGTGTGCTGTGTTCACACAGATGGGTTAAATACAGAGGTCAAATTTCCCCATGTTGCATGTAGTGCTGTGTGAGCATGATTGCGGGACAATAAAAAGGAATCTTAATCCTTAATCGTAATTAATAATTAATAGGTTGAAACCATTCACAGTAGCATTTTAATCATTATAATTACCATTATAATCAATTGTTAAAAGCATCTGTGGACAACAAGCAGGGGCATTGCAACAGGGTAGGCAATGCAAGCAATTGCCTGGGACTAGTACGCACTTTGTTCATCTAGCTACGCTGGATATTAAAATTAGACCAAAATAAATCATATCAGAACTTTTCCCATGTTTAGTGTGATTTATAACCTGTACAATTCAACTGAAAAACAAATATATAAATAAAAACATCCATCTATCTTTCTTTCTATCTATCTATCTATCTATCTATCTCTCTATCTATCTTTCTGCTGACATAATTTTATTGCAAACACTACTGCATATAGAAGATCCTGAAAGTCAAACATGAGTCATCAGTCTTTCCTCTTATGATCTAAAATGACCTTTTCTTAATAGAAAATACTGAGGAAGAACAAGAAGAAGTATGGAGGTTCAAACAGAAGAGCATCAACTATCCTTGAGGAGGTTAGCACTTATGTCACTATGATATGTTATATAATGTCGGGTCTATTATTATACTATTTATTATTCAGTTTGTGTGGTTGTTCTTGTTGTTGATAATAAAAATGAATTGTTCTTATTGTTGATATCTAAACCAGCCAGAGAACCTGACAGAAGACGAGGACATTTTGATTGGAGAAGGTCCAACATTGGATCGGCCGCTGTCATCACTAGAAAAACTGCACGTTATCATTGGATACGCTCTGTCCAGACGAGACATAAGGTAAAGCTGGAGTAAACATTTACATGGGAAAAACAAACATATGTAAATACACAGGTATAATGTGGGTATACAGTGGAGAAACACATTAGAAAACATTCAAAATAGAAGCCAGTGTAAAATTCATATGTAAAAACAGTATACTAATTTTCAAACATTTTGCAGTCATCATTCAGTTCTGCTAACATATCATCTCTGTTGGTTACCACGTCTCTTATTGTTTTCTTCCGTGTCTCTCTTCTGTGTAGGGATGAGATTTACTGCCAGATCTGTAAGCAGCTGGTATACAACAAGAACAGGAAGAGCCGTATGCAAGGCTGGATCCTCCTCTCCATCTGTCTCGGGATCTTCCCTCCGACAGACCTGTTAGTGAAGGTCAGTGTGCAGCAAGTCACTGAGTTGCACAACAGTTTGCCATCAAAGAATGTCTGTAGCAACCAGACCTGGTTTCCTGTTTTCAGTGTGAATTTGGAGAAGAATGCAATGGGAACCAGTTTCTAAAATGTCAGGGGTTGTTTTTGCATTTTTTAAGAGAATCATTAAATAGATACTAAACACTGATAAACTGTTACTTCACTCAGTTGGTCACGACACCCTGCTTTTTACACGTGATCAAAGTAGTAAAATTAGATAAGATTAAAGACACAGGGTTATTGTTGTGAAATGTAGATATAGAACCTATAATTACTGTATATAAAGATGGACAACTAGGACAGACAAAAGTGATGCCAAAGTGACTCTATTGACCTTTGGTGGCTGGTTGCTTTATAGATCATAACCCCCCTAAATACATTTTTCTTAGAGATTGTTTCTGTCATTTTAGGTTGTTTGTATGACTGATTATTTGTACTAATATTTAGCCCCATTTCTGGATATTGGGAGAAAGTTAAGACTCGTTGTCCATCCTTATTCAGTCTATTACGTATACAGGATAAAACTAAAACATTATAAGATAAACATTTTCAGTTTTATTTAAAAGATGACCCCAAGTTTCATTTCAGTTGTGGTTGTATTGTGAATATACAATCTGTTTTGTTGTAATTTTATTTATTTGTGTGTCATTGTTTATTTCTCTCTCCCAAGGATTTGTAACACTGTTACCTCGTTCTTTTCTTCTGTGCTCCACAGTATTTGGAGAAGTTTGTCTCTAGGGGGCCGGATGGTTATAAAGCATATTGTACTGAGCGCCTGCGTCGTATATTAGCCAATGGAGAAAGGAAAGAGTTGCCCTGTTGGATAGAGCTACAGGTAAAATATTTCGATTAAATTTTAAATTTTGTTTTTTTTCTGTAACCTCCACAGTAATTTCTTCGTCCTCAGTTGTATTGTTAACTATTCTGAGATGTTTTGATCTGCATTTTTTTGTGACAAAATCACTTTTTCTTCAGCTGTAGTCCCCAAGTTACTGGCTTGTTTTCTTGTTTTTAATCCAGTCTCATCTTCTTTCCTTCCATTGACAGGCTGTAAAGTCCAAGAAGCCCATCGATGTGTCTGTGACTCTAATAGACGGCCGCACTATCAGTCTTCATCTGGATTCAGCCTCTACCTCTGCTGAAATCTGTCAAGCTGTGGCTCTACAGACAGGTCTCAAAGACACCTATGGATTCTCCTTGTACATCAGCCTCTATGATAAGGTCAGCTTTACTCACAGAGTTTTAAAAAATCCACAACTCAAATATTGTTTGAATTAGTGCTAACATATTATAGAGAACCACATTAATTGAAACCCTGTTGGCGTCTCATCTCCAGATGTGGTCTTTGGGCAGCTGTGGGAAGCATGTGTTGGATGCGGTATCTCAGTGTGAGCAAGAGATGAAGAGGCAAGGCAAAGAGGAGAAGGACACCCCCTGGAGTCTCTCCATCCGCAAGGAACTGTTCACACCGTGGCACGACTGCTCAGTCGACCTGATCAGCACAGATCTGATTTACAGGCAGGTCATCAAGGGAATCAAGTCGGGAGAGTACGTCAGTGAGAAGGTGAGGCTCTGCAGAGAATCAACTCAGTTTAACAATAAGGATGCCATGTACTCATTATAACTTGACAAAGAGTATAGTATTATAAAACAAAAAAACTGATAATACTTAGTATTTGTCTACTTTTTGTAATATGATAAAGTCACAGCACTCAAAAAGTTCTCTCTAAAAAAAAGGATAATAAATCCCATCCCATTCGTATTAGCAGAATAAATGAAGTTACGGTCTTGTCTCTGGTTTACGGGCATCAAAACATATATCATAATAAATCATTATCAGTACCTTTGTCTGCCGAGATTCTCGGTCATCCAGGTCAGGGTATTTTCAGAAGTTGCAGAAGTGTACATACTGTATGCAACTGGACTTGCTTGTGTTTCTTGAAGATGTTTCACCTCTCATCTAAGAGGCGGTTTAACTTCTATTTGACTAATAGGAGGTTTCAGGTATTTTATTTCTGTGGGTTTGTACCTGTGTTGAGTCATTTAGGAGGTTTAATGACCTGCCTGTTTAACATAACTCTAAACACAGGTAAAGACCCACCGTGATTAAATACCTGAAACCCTCTCATTAATCTTGAAGAACCTCACAGCACTTTAGTTTCTTTTTCAGTTCAACATCCCACAACTGTGGTGTTGAGTGTAACTTACTGTTTGTATCCACATCTAAACTCTAATAATCCCTCTGCAGTTGAGCTGCTCCCCATCAAAACAGCAGACACGAAGTTAGCAGCTAGCTTGCAAAACAAAGTGACAAACAATTAGCCACTAAACAAATTTGTCAAGAGAGCTTGGCAGAACTAAGGATGGAGTAATCATTTTCAGGTGATCTGAAATACAACTCAGAATCAATAATGTTGTCTCTTATCTGATGCATGTTTAAATTTGATGCTCAGTGACACGTTTAGGGCTTGTTTCTACTGCCCCCTAGTGGCTAAAAAACGCTTAATACCGCTTAAAAATCATAAGATCTTTTTCGTGTTCCAGAATAGAAACTTTATTTTATTTTTTATTCATGACATCTCCACTGTTCTTAATATTAACATGGATTTTTTTAGATAGCGAAAATAAATACCTGGATTACTCAGGTAGATCTTTGAGGACTATATTTCCTATTGTATGTATATAAATTGATATTAATATCTAATCCATGGCAACAACAATAAGACACCAGTGTGTGTCCGATAAACGTTGTTTTTTTCTCTCAGGAGGATGAATATGTCCAGCTGGCAGCGAAGCACTATTACATCCAGTTTGGCTCTGCACACAGCATAGAGAACGTCCAGAGGGTGGTTGAGGAGTGCATCACCACACAACTGATTGAGAACAAATCTATGGCAAAATGGATCCAACTCATCAGCTCAGCTCATCTACAGGTACATTACCATGCAGTTAAACAAAGGCGTAAAAGGAGTTTGCCTGAAATATTTTCTAATGTCTTAATCATTTTATCGTTTGTATCATCTGAGCACAATAAACCTGAGGCACCTCAAGTTACATCTTATATGCTGGTCTCAAAACAGGGTCCTTATGTCAACGGGAACCAGAGCAAAGAAAGTGTTAAAGGGGAGTTGGTGGACAGTGCGCGAGAGAAATGGCCGGTGCACTTCTCCAGGTTTTATGAAGTTACAATGTTGTCAGGTTAGTCAACGTAAAATGCAGAATAAAATGTCCTCAATACCCAGTGAGGTCTTGATGTACTTCCATACTTTTTTGCTCCCCTGTGACCTAAAATGCTTTGATATTATTATTTTGAAGTGTGTTTTAATGTTAAGAGGCTAAACAATACCAGTGTAGATTTCCCTGTGAACTGGGGTTTCCAGTTACAATCAGGGAAATGGCAGATGATTTACAACCTTGTTCTTGAGACTTTTGTGTTCATATATCTATCCTCAGGTCTGCCTTTGCCCAAAAGCAGGTTTGTTGTGGCTGTAAACTGGAAAGGCATCTTCTTCATGGATGGAAAAGAAAAGTGTCTCTTTGAGCTTTCTTACCTGGAACTGAAGGAAATAAAAACAATCAAGTATGGGTAAAATTCACTTTTCATTAATTTGCTCCCTTGGAAATTATCCTGAATCTTACAATTAAACCCTAATAATCAAAATCTGTCTGCTGTCTGTCATACCAGTGGCCAATCAGTGAATTTGTCCACAATCAAAGGAGACTTTGTCCTGAGGTGTGGGGAGGATGTGGAGATGGGTGGACTCATAGAGACTAACCTGGATGGGCTGAGGGAGCTCTCCCGGTATGCTCTGGCTCTGCAGGACATCAACAGATCAGGTAGGAGTTTACAGTTTGTACAGGATGGACGAGTGAGCTCACACACACCTGCACATTAGACAGCGTAAATGTATAAAAATTCTCCTTTTGTATATATTTATGTCTGAGTCTGCGGGAAAACAAAAAGGCTTACCATGCACTTAAACTTCATGACTGTGTCTCTGCTCCCATTAAGATGACCCCATGATAGTCGACTGTAAACGTGGTGACCTCCTGCTGGTAGAAAAAGATGAAGATTATTCCCCTGAAGAAACCTGCATCAGAGCAACTAACCAGCGGACCGGCAGCAGTGTTACAGCCCATAAGGACTCAGTGCAGTTTCTGCCAACTCTCACAAGCCCTACTGAAGATATGCTGGTAGAGTTTCCTTTAAGATCTCATATGTTTAATATAAGATTTAATATAAAAGAAGTAAGATGGGAATAAAAGAGTTGCAAAGTTAATGTAATTATAAAAAGTATACAGTACAGTACAACACTAAAATAAAGAGTAACATGTGAAGAATCTTTGGTATATAAATAGTGTGTATACACACATTTATTTAAATGTGTAAACTTAGACAGTGAAAAAAGTCCAGGTCTATTTTATTTATGAGAGCAACAAAGAACCCTTTTGTTTGCATTTAAATAAAGTGTGTATACACACATTTATGTATTTATATTTACAGAAAAAAACTATATGTTTTAAATATCCGAAAATAATACATTAAAACTAAAATGTTGTGATAAAGTGGCAAATATGCAAATATATTAAGATTTAATTTATGTGCCTCAAATTGATTGTATATGAGACCAATTTAATAATAATACATTTCATTAGCAGCTTTCTAGACACCCAAGTACACCTTATTATAATCATACACAAATAAGTCTCAACACATGATGGGCAGCAGTGAGCAGCAGTGGATCCATGCGTAAGATAATTCATATGAGCGCCCCCTGTGGTGTCACTGATGAACTGCCTCTGATCCCCTCAGGAACTGCTCAGTCCGGGCCAGAGGAAACGTTCAACCACACAGAGCATCACACAGAGAGATGAAACAGTGGCTCCTGTCTCATTGAAAGAGTTTGCACTTGAGAACTTCAGGTAATAAATAATATTTAATGTTTGTATAATTTCGCTTTTTTATTTGTGTGAATTTGGGACTTTTGACTCGTTGAATATCCAGATATTCACTTGGATGATTCAATCTTGTTTTAAATATTACTAATAGTCAACTAATTTCTCTAATCTGTTCTCACTGTGGTTCCTGTCTGACACAGGACTGCGGGTAAAGATGTGGGTCGACAGGGTCAGTACAAAGGGCTCAGGAAAGAGAAACTGTGGGCCTGTTCCAAAGAACCTCTCAAGCAGCCCCTGATGAGGGGTCTGGTCCGCAACTCTGAGCTCAGCTACCTGGCCTGCAACGCCTTCATTGATATCCTCTGATAAATGTGCTTTCCTGTTTTAGATGGTGCAGTTTGAGAATGCAGAAACACTTTATTCCAGGAATGAGACAATATGCTGATTATTTCTCAAATTTACAGACATCTGAGATTTTGAGGTATCTTTTCGCAAATTCATCTGTAATCTTTTTACTTTTAAACAGTAACTGCCTGTATACAAAAGGTAAGGTGTGAGTTTGTATGAGTCCTTGACCTAAGCTGCTACCTATCCTGAAGTATATGGGTGACTACCCCATTAAACATGCCCGCAGCTCTGTCGAGCTGACAGACCAGATCTTTGGTCCGGCCACGCAGCATGAGGCCCTGCAGGATGAGATCTACTGCCAGATTATGAGACAGATGACCGGCAACAACAACAGGTGCAGCCTCAGGATGCACGTTTGTAGAATTTAAAGAAAAATCAAAAGCCTAGATATGAAAAGCTTCAATGTGTTTTTCCGCTCTCTCTTGCTCTCAGGCTGAGTCTGGAGCGTGGGTGGCAGCTGATGTGGCTTTGTTCAGGTCTGTTCCCACCCAGTAAGAGTTTGATGAGACACGCTCAGAACTTCCTGGAGTCGCGGCCCAGAGACCCGCTGGCGACTATCTGTCTGCAGAGGGTGCAGGCAATGTGCAGGTCAAAAATCATTGATTACACAGCAATGTACTGTGAAAGGTGTTGGTTACTGGTCTCGGCAGAAACAAACTAACGAACATACTTCTTCTTTGGAGATTAAAAAAGTATTAGTCACATGCAGATCATAATGATACTGAGCTAATTCTAATAAAATGTATATTGGTACATTTTAGTATAAATATGCTGAGATATCTTGACGATTGGTCCCTAGTACTGGTCAAATGCACAAGTAATGCTGGCTCCTACACAGTCTCCCTAGGCCTCAAACATTTTCATGAAGTTTAAAAAATATTCAATATCACCTTTAACATCATCCTTCTATCCCTTATCTATCCCTCTATTTTATACCACAAATCCAAGACAAGGATGAATCCATATAGTAACATTTAGGGGTTATTTGTTATGCACCTTTCATACTCTTCATACTTTACAAAAAAAAGCATTCATTTTATTCTGTATTGTTTTAAACATTCTTAGAAAGGC